TGGGACAATCACCTCCCAAGTCCTACTCCCCACGCTGCTCCTGACACAGGCCAGGATGCTGGTGGCCTTCTTGGCCACCTGGGCACACTGCTGGCTCCTGTTCAGCCCACAGGCCACCAACACCCCCAGGGCCTTTTCTGCCAGGCAGCTCCAGCCACTCTGCCCCCAGCCTATAGCATCCATGGGGTTGGTGGGACCCAAGGGCAGGACCCGGCACTTGGCCTTGTTGAACCTTATCCCATCCATGGGCCTGTCCAGATCCCTGTGTAGAGCCTTTCTACCCTCCAGCAGGTCGACACTGCCACCCAACTTGGTGTCATCTGCAAACTGACTGAAAACTCACTGGTTTGCCCACCACAGTCTACTTGTGCTGGTGCCTGCAGAGGGAGGAGTCCCACTCGCTCACTGAACAAAGGCTCAAAGTGCCTTACATCAGACAGGCAGGTCCTGCTCTTCAGCCCACCACCAAATTTCAAGCAATGATCCCTCCCTTCCAGATGATTCTGCTAGCGACCAGGATTCAAAGCCATGTTTGTTTCTGTGGTGCTTGGTTGGCTTTTAACTGATGGATCACTTAATTGCAAAAAATACTGGCAGAAAACAAGCTGCCTTCAGCTTTTGGACCTTGATTTTCAGCGTTATTTAGATTCCAAATAGGCATCTGATGGCACAGCCAAAAATATAATGAGGAGATGACTGTGATTTTAACCACCTTCCATGCAGCCTTCCTGACTGGGTTAATGTTCTGCACAGGAACCTCTCTCTCATTTCCTAGATGAATTTTACTCCTTTGCTAAAGAGACAGCAGAAAAACCCTGTATGTGTCATTTAGCTCCTCGAAATGAAGCCAAAATGACATTTGAAGTATGACTATGTGCTGTGGATAAGGGTATTCTTTCTCTCATGCCTTTATTGGTGCAATTTCCTACTCTGATACAGCTATTTTCTTTTTCATTTCTAGTTTTTTCTAACAGAATATACCGGCCCTCTTCTAATATATCTGCTCTTTTACATTCGCCTCTCAACTATTTATGATCAAGTGGAAAGTACAAAGAACTTCCGTCACCCAGTGGTTCAGTAAGTGGCACTTGCATGATCTATTTTCCTGGAGGACAGGGGGCCAGAGGGATGGAGACTACATTTCCAGGGCTGGGAGGTCACAGGAGGGGTGAGGTTGCACGCCTGGGCTTGGAGTCAGGGGGAGTTTCAGCCTGAACAGAAGGTGAATCACAGAATTCATGGAATCACGGAAATGTCGGAGTTGGAAGGGACCTTCTAGAGATCATCCAGCCCAACTCCCCTGCCAAAGCAGGGCTGCCCAGAGCACATCACTCAGGAGCATCCAGGTGGGGCTTGAAGATCTCCAGAGAAGGGGACTCCACACCCTCCCTGGGCAGCCTCTGCCAGGGCTCTGCCACCCTCACCCCAAAGAAGTTCTTCCTCACATTGGAGTGGAACTTCCCATGGTCCAGCTTGTGCCCGTTGCCCCTCGTCCTGTCACTGGGAACCACTGGAAAGAGTCCAGCTCCATCCTCCCTCAACCCACCCTTTAGACACTTGTCAGCATTAATAAGGTCTCCCCTCAGCCTTCTCTTCTCCAGGCTAAAGAGCCCCAGCTCTCTCAGCCTTTCCTCGTCAGGGAGATGCTCCAATCCCTCCATCATCTCTGTTGCCCTACGCTGGACTCTCTCCAGCAGTTCCCTGTCTCTCTTGAACTGGGGAGCCCAGCACTGGAGGCAGGATTCCAGTTGTGGCCTCCCCAGTGCAGAGCAGAGGGGGAGAATGACCTCCCTCCACCTCCTGGCCACCTTCCCTACACAGCCCAGGATCCCATTGGCCTCTTGGCCACAAGGGCCCATTGCTGGCTCATGGAAAGTGTGCTATCTACCAGGACTCCCAGATCTTTCTCCTCAGTAGTGCTTCCCAGAAGATCCATCCCTAACCTGTATTGGTGCCTGGGGTTCTTCCTCCCCAGGTGAAGGACCCTACATTTGTCCTTGTTGAACCTCATGAGGTTCCTCTCTGCCCAGCTCTCCAGCCTGTCCAGGTCGCACTGGATGGTGGCCCAGCCCTCTGGAGTGTCAGCCAGCCCTCCCAGTTTGGTATCATCAGCAAACTTGCTGAGGATACACTCTGTCCCCTCATCCAGGTCATTTATGAATGTGTTGAACAGGACTGGGCTGAGTATTGACCCCTGAGGGACACCACTGGTCACAGGCCTCCAACTTGACCCTGCTCCATTAATGACAACCCTCTGAGTTCTGTCACACAGCCAGGACTCAATCCACCTCACTGTCCCCTCATCTATCCCACACTTCCTTAATTTTCTAATGAGGTGGGAGACAGTGTCAAAAGCCTTGCTGAAGTCAAGGTAGATGACATCTGCTGCTCTCCCTTCATCTAGCCAACCAGTTACAACCTCATAGAAGGCTATCAGATTGGTCAAACATGAGTTACCCCTGGTAGATCCGTGTTGACCAATGTTGAAATAATGAAGACAGTGGGTAGTATCCTGAAGTCACGCTTGGGAGAGAAGAGAGGACAAGATTTCAGATGTCCCACTCTCAGTGTCTCTACAGCATATTGCCACTCACAAGATGGGTAACATCAGCATCCAGGGTAAGAGATGACCCCCACACCAGCTCCCACCTAGGCACAGCAAGGAGGGCTTCAAGAGCTTTGCATGCCATGAGTCAGGTCAAGAACAACTGAGAAACTCAAAATAAGCACCAGGGGAATTAAAAACTGATAATCTGATTTTTTTAAACCAACATCTTCAAACTCTAATCGTTGCCTAGGGAACGAAAGACAAATATTTGAGTTCTGAAAGACTTTTAAGAAAGAAAACACTTAAGTGACAAACAAAAATAAGAGCTCAGCCACTTCTAGAACAGTGAAGAGCACGGGTTTTATCTAGCTGTACAGAAACAAACCAGAGGAGCTCATATAGAAGCATAAACTGGGTAGATTTGCTTCTCTCCATCACTGGGACATCAATGCTAACAAGGGAAATTAAATAGCTCTGATATGATACAGGAGGAGCTGACCACAAGGAACCACAACCAGCTCAGTCTGCCAGAACTCAGGCGTGTGCCAAAAAGCAATGAAGAGAATGCCTTCTTTTGCTCAGACACTTAAAAGGAGAGAGTTAGCACAGAAAAACCTTTACCTTCTTTTAAGAGGGCAAGGGGTGTGCAGGATCCTTCCAGCGACCACTCTGCGGTCCCCCATCCTCAGCCAAATTAATTTTAAAATTCCCAGCAAAGCTGGAAGTTTGCTCCAGACTTTGGCTAAGTCATTAATTGTTTGGAATTTTCTTAGCTCAACTCTCTCTGGTTTAATTACTTTCCAAATTGTTTAATCTTTGACTCTGGCTACTATACAAGACGCATAATAAAAGTATTTTGAGATTTCACAAGCTGAAAATCACTTTTCATTTATGTTTTATAATTGGTTTGCAGTGAGACAGGCTCTGGTAGCACAGTAACTGTAACCGAGATAAAATGCCACTAGGAATCACTCTTGACATTTCTTTCTGAAATTCAATCTCTACGAGCTGCAGCTCATTCTCGGAAGCAAATCAGCAACGCCTGTTATTGTTTCATAATCTTCCTCAAAAGAGAATCAGCATCATAATTTCTACAACAATTACCTCATTTCTTCTAACGGGTGACAAAAAAAAAGCCATCGGAACGGATTAACTTTGCCACAAAACCTCGTTTCGTGCCCACAGGGAAATGAAATAGGGACTGCCTCCGTGCAGCTACTCGAGTTGGCAAAGGACAAGGAGAGCATTCAGGGTGTTTTTAAATGTCAGGCACATCCTGCAGGAGCATTAAGGTGGCCTTAAAAAGTGGGAGACACCTTTTGGAGAAGCACAGCTTGTATACACAGCTGTCCTTTTTTAATGTCTTGGCAGGGCCATGCATCACACTCGGGGCTCCAGGAGCTCTTTTTTAATTCAAGGCTAGGAAAAATAAGTTGCTCCCCTGCAAAATGAAAGCAACTTTGTATAACGCTGAAAATGATTCCATTAATCTCTGCTTCCAGATGCTTCAATTAGGAGGATATCTTAAATCCCATGGTTTCACTGTGACTTGGCACTTTTGGGATATTAGTTCTTATTCCTTTTGCGACATTAAAGTGTGAAGTAATAAAAAGCAATCTTTTGCTTACCTTAATTTCTAATTATTTTTTTTTTCTTCCTTCCAGCTTGGCCTGCTTCTGCCACTGTTTACACTACATCAGACATCTTCTGGAGACATTATTTGTTCACAAGTTTTCGGGAGGGCACACTCCTCTGAAAAATATGATAAAGGTGACAATATGTTTATATGTAAGAGAGAATAGCCTCCTATCAAAGCAGTCCTTGGAAGAAGACAGGAAAATAAAAAAGAATTTATTTTCTAGCTCCAGGAATTATTAGTCAAAATACAAATATAGGAACAATTTCAGGGCCACGTCCCCAAGGACATGAACTGAAATAAATGTCCATTTTAGCTCCTGAATGTCCCAATGTCCACTTTGACTCATCCACCCAAGGGGCTGATTGTCATGTCCAGGATATTTTTCAGACCAAATGCTATTTTATGATGAGATATGCTGCTGCAACATCTAGCAATGCTGACAGAAATCACACTTCCCTTCCTCAGCGCAATATAAATACAGAGGGAGAGACAGGCCTTGCATTAGGGAGCTAAAATCAAATTACAAGTAGAAAAAAACCAAATTATCTTTCTATAGGTGGAGGCCTGAGGAAGGCAGGTGCTGAGCTGGCCTAAATCTTCTGTCTCCCAAAGTCTCCTGAATTTCAGCCGTGTGTCATCACTCATAAGTTCTTCTATCATTTATTTCACTTGGTCATTGTGTATCACCCCATTCAGTGTGATGTAAAGACCCTCCCTTTTAAAGTTTTGCTAAACATTTAAGATTTTAGTGAAGGAGATAAAACATATGGCCGTGACAGGGGGCTTGACTCGTTCCCAGTCAGAAAGGAGGGAATGAGATGCACAGCTAGAGATGTTGTTTTATAATACACCGTGGTTAAATAAAAAATAATTAAGAAAAAAAGGAATATAAGCTAAATGGCTTTGGAACCAGATCTATTCAGTTTTATTCTTTAACGTCTCAGCTAGTTTAGCATTCCATTTGGCCAGCTCTATCTTGCTTGGAAATGCTGAGTTTAAGGGATAGTAACAGTTCAGTGATTTTAACCAGCCCTAAACTTTAAATAGTATAACTATATATATATATATATAACTTAATAGTATAACTCTGAGAAATGCACCTTTCAACAGTAGAACCAAATCAGGAGAAGACAAATGTCAATTCCTACAAGAGGCATAAATCACATTCAACACAATCCAAAAAATCTACAAAGTCTTCCAATGGACATTGGGGTTTTGCACTTACTAGAATTTATAAAGTTATGATTTTTACTTGCTTATTGCCCTTCCTAACAAAAAAAAAAATATCTTTTGTCCATTCTAGGGCTGTGCCTTTTACTGGGGATTCACATCCTGGATTGCATACTACATCAACCACCCACGTTATACCCCACCATGTATGTATACCTAGAACATAAAACTGACCTTGGTTTTTAAAAGTTTTTGGTACGCAACCTTCAGTTCTCCAAAATCAATAGGTGGCCCCCAGATGACCTTGGAAATATTGGCCAAGTGGAGAAAACACAAAGATTTGTATTTGGCTTATCTTCACAATACTTGTATTAAGAATGCAGGAGCGAGCTAGAGCTGGCTGTGTTTTCTTGGAGGAGATAATTATTTGCTAAAAATATATCTATTTCATGAAAACTAAGAATTCTTTTTTTTTGGTGAGAGACCAGTAAAAGTCAACCAGATAGTGCTGATAAAAATGAAAAAAAAAAACCCCTATGTTTTTTGCTTCCAGATTTCATTCATCATTTTGTTCCCTCTCACTATATTTTACGGTTGCACTGCCTTTTCTTCATGATTTTTTTTCTTCTTGTTTGCTCTGAACTTTTGCTTCTTTTGAGCTTAATTGACGTAAGTTTTGTTTCCTGCTGCTGTACTTTCCTTGCTAGGCTCTGGTCTGTCTTTTCCTCTGCATCTTACACTTACCTATGAACTTTGGGAACAAAAAGATTACTTTGACATTTTTATTTGCGCTGTTGAATGACTAATTTTTTTCAATCAAAAATGTATCCTCCATGGTGGGTGTTTGGTGTGGTGTGGTGTGTGTGGTTTTTTTGGGGTTTTTTTGTGGTTGGACTCGATGATCTCAGAGGTCCCTTCCAACCACTAAGATTCTGTGATTCTGTGTGATTCTGTGATTTGCTTGCCTTTCACAATAACACAGAAGTTGTGTTTCAAAATGATGTGATGCATTGAAAAACAGGTGAATGTGGTGGGCCTTTGGCAGTAACGCTGCAAACAATGCTGAGAGCTCCTTAGACACAGTTTTCAGCAGGTTGGGCCATCAGATGAGTAACTGCAGCTTCCTCATAGAGGAAATGATTTGTTGAAGACATGGCCTTCTAATGGAGAAAGCATTCAGAAGTCCTTCTAATTGCTTGCCACTGCCTTAAAATGACAATTCGAGGTACGTAGATCTAATGCTAGAGATCACCAGTGCTCTGGCATATTTAGCTGCATCAGTAAAACACTGATGGTTTATTTTGGATGCAGGAGCAGGTGACCTCCAAAGCCACATCCAGAGGTGGCTAGGTTGGGGACAGCTAAAGACAGGCAAGGAGGTCACTGCAGAATGCTACAGGGGAGTGGTAAATTAATCCAGGAGGGCAAAGGGCCCATGAAGAACTTCTGCTTGGCAGCTCCATGCTCACACGTTGACATGTGGTGGCTGCTCTTGAGGAGGTGTTTTAGAGCATGTCCTTGGACCACAGAGGAGTCGTGTGCCAGCCAGATGAAAAAGGGTTCTCAAAATAAAGGTTCATGCAGTTAGAAGGGCCTATGGATAAGGCTGTAATTCCCAGCCTGGCTCTGCCCCTGACCTTCCCTTTGTCCCTCCCCTTGCCTTTCCAAGGAATTTAACACCACCAGCTACTTTGACAAAGCACTTGGATAAGGAATATAAGCTAAATGGCTTTGGAACCAGATCTATTCAGTTTTATTCTTTAACGTCTCAGCTAGTTTAGCATTCTGTTTGGCCAGCTCTATCTTGCTTGGAAATGCTGAGTTTAAGGTATAGTAGCAGTTCAGTGATTTTAACCAGCCCTAAACTTTAAATAGTATAACTATATATATATATATATAACTTAATAGTATAACTCTGAGAAATGCACCTTTCAACAGTAGAACCAAATCAGGAGAAGACAAATGTCAATTCCTACAAGAGGCATAAATCACATTCAACACAATCCAAAAAATCTACAAAGTCTTCCAATGGACATTGGGGTTTTGCACTTACTAGAATTTATAAAGTTATGATTTGTACTTGCTTATTGCCCTTCCTAACAAAAAAAAAAATATCTTTTGTCCATTCTAGGGCTGTGCCTTTTACTGGGGATTCACATCCTGGATTGCATACTACATCAACCACCCACGTTATACCCCACCATGTATGTATACCTAGAACATAAAACTGACCTTGGTTTTTAAAAGTTTTTGGTACGCAACCTTCAGTTCTCCAAAATCAATAGGTGGCCCCCAGATGACCTTGGAAATATTGGCCAAGTGGAGAAAACACAAAGATTTGTATTTGGCTTATCTTCACAATACTTGTATTAAGAATGGAGGAGGGAACTAGAGCTGGCTGTGTTTTCTTGGAGGAGATAATTATTTGCTAAAAATATATCTATTTCATCAAAATTAAGAATTCTTTTTTTTGGTGAGAGACCAATAAAAGTCAAAAGATAGTGCTGATAAAAATGAAAAAAAAAAACCCCTATGTTTTTTGCTTCCAGATTTCATTCATCATTTTGTTCCCTCTCACTATATTTTACGGTTGCACTGCCTTTTCTTCATGATTTTTTTTTCTTCTTGTTTGCTCTTTGAACTTTTGCTTCTTTTGAGCATAACTGACATAAGTTTTGTTTCCTGCTACTGCACTTAGGCTCTGGTCTGTCTTTTCCTCTGCATCTCTTCTTGTTTGCTCTGAACTTTTGCTTCTTTTGAGCTTAATTGACGTAAGTTTTGTTTCCTGCTGCTGTACTTTCCTTGCTAGGCTCTGGTCTGTCTTTTCCTCTGCATCTTACACTTACCTATGAACTTTGGGAACAAAAAGATTACTTTGACATTTTTATTTGCGCTGTTGAATGACTAATTTTTTTCAATCAAAAATGTACAAAATTAAGAATTCTTTTTTTTGGTGAGAGACCAATAAAAGTCAAAAGATAGTGCTGATAAAAATGAAAAAAAAAAACCCCTATGTTTTTTGCTTCCAGATTTCATTCATCATTTTGTTCCCTCTCACTATATTTTACGGTTGCACTGCCTTTTCTTCATGATTTTTTTTTCTTCTTGTTTGCTCTTTGAACTTTTGCTTCTTTTGAGCATAACTGACATAAGTTTTGTTTCCTGCTACTGCACTTAGGCTCTGGTCTGTCTTTTCCTCTGCATCTTACACTTACCTATGAACTTTGGGAACAAAAAGATTACTTTGACATTTTTATTTGCGCTGTTGAATGACTAATTTTTTTCAATCAAAAATGTATCCTCCATGGTGGGTGTTTGGTGTGGTGTGGTGTGTGTGGTTTTTTTGGGTTTTTTTTGTGGTTGGACTCGATGATCTCAGAGGTCCCTTCCAACCACTAAGATTCTGTGATTCTGTGTGATTCTGTGATTTGCTTGCCTTTCACAATAACACAGAAGTTGTGTTTCAAAATGATGTGATGCATTGAAAAACAGGTGAATGTGGTGGGCCTTTGGCAGTAATGCTGCAAACAATGCTGAGAGCTCCTTAGACACAGTTTTCAGCAGGTTGGGCCATCAGATGAGTAACTGCAGCTTCCTCATAGAGGAAATGATTTGTTGAAGACATGGCCTTCTAATGGAGAAAGCATTCAGAAGTCCTTCTAATTGCTTGCCACTGCCTTAAAATGACAATTCGAGGTACGTAGATCTAATGCTAGAGATCACCAGTGCTCTGGCATATTTAGCTGCATCAGTAAAACACTGATGGTTTATTTTGGATGCAGGAGCAGGTGACCTCCAAAGCCACATCCAGAGGTGGCTAGGTTGGGGACAGCTAAAGACAGGCAAGGAGGTCACTGCAGAATGCTACAGGGGAGTGGTAAATTAATCCAGGAGGGCAAAGGGCCCATGAAGAACTTCTGCTTGGCAGCTCCATGCTCACACGTTGACATGTGGTGGCTGCTCTTGAGGAGGTGTTTTAGAGCATGTCCTTGGACCACAGAGGAGTCGTGTGCCAGCCAGATGAAAAAGGGTTCTCAAAATAAAGGTTCATGCAGTTAGAAGGGCCTATGGATAAGGCTGTAATTCCCAGCCTGGCTCTGCCCCTGACCTTCCCTTTGTCCCTCCCCTTGCCTTTCCAAGGAATTTAACACCACCAGCTACTTTGACAAAGCACTTGGATATCTGAAGCTGACAAATACAAAAAAACACTAAGGTGAAAACTACCTTGAGATCAGTGGTGAAGAGACTGGCATTTCTAGAATGCTGTTACTGTTTGCATTGTCTTCATTTTCCGTGTGATAATATCTATTCTCTCTGCAGAGCCTGTCAGGAAAGAAGCATTTCTGCTCCTCAGCACTAGATTAATTTCACCCCTAGCAAACCATGTGCATACCCTAAAATGCAATTTATAATTTTGTTCTATTTTCTAGCGTTTGGCCACAGACAAGTTTCTTTTGCTGCCCTTGCTTTTCTGGTAGGTATGAAAATCAAGTTTTATTAATGGCTGTGGAATAGGAGTAACTCATAATTTCACAAGATGCAGAAATGATGATTTGTGTATGACCACACTCAAAGTCCTGTGTCCTTTGACTGGATACAAGATGCAGAAATGATGGTATGCATTTGTGTATGATCACACTCAAAGTCCTGTGTCCTTTGACTGGATTTAGTGATGATCTATGAAGGTTTCTGGGCCAGACAGCCTCCTGGTACTATTTACATATTCAGCCCTTAATGGGAAGTGCTGTCTCTGAGAACCAGGAGAACATCATCAGCATTATTACTACTGATAAGTTTATAAAACCCCTAATGCTTATACGGATTGGAACTTGCCATGTTTAAAACACTGAAGAATGACATCCTAAGCAGACTTCACAACACGACTGCATACCCTGAATAACTTAATCTCAACAGCTATTAAGAGCAATAAAACCAATCCCTGCCCAAAATGGATCTGGGGAGAGCCTGTTTACAAAGGCCTGTAGTGACAGGACGAGGGGAAATGGCTTCAAGCTGGAGGGGAACAGATTTAGACTGGAGATGAGGAGAGGGTTCTTCACTGTGAGGGTGGTGGAGCACTGGAACAGGTTGCCCAGGGAGGTGGTTGAGGCCCCATCCCTGGAGATATTCAAGGTGAGGCTCGACGAGGCCCTGGGCAACCTGGTCTAGTTGGGGGTGTCCCTGCTGACTGCGGGGGGGGTCGGACTAGATGGCCTTTGGAGGTCCCTTCCGGCCTGGACAACTCTATGATTGATTCTGTGATTCTGTGCTCAACTATCGCTGGAAACCACTGAAAAGAGTTCGGCTCCATCCTCCTTCAACCCACCCTTTAGACACTTGTCAGCATTGATAAGGTCTCCCCTCAGCCTTCTCTTCTCCAGGCTAAAGAGTCCCAGCTCTTTCCTCATCAAGGAGATGCTCCAATCCCTCCATCATCTCTGTTGCCCTACACTGGACTCTCTCCAGCAGTTCCCTGTCCCTCTTGAACTGGGGAGCCCAGAACTGGAGGCAGGATTCCAGTTGTGGCCTCCCCAGTGCAGAGCAGAGGGGCAGAATGACCTCCCCCCACCTCCTGGCCACACTCTTCCCTACACAGCCCAGGATCTCATTGGCCTCTTGGCCACAAGGGCACATTGCTGGAAGAGGGGACATTAATGTGTCTAGGCTCCTGCAGGCAAATGCCATCCAGAAAAACATTCACACAACTCCTTAGCAACATTTAAACACTTTTGTAAATTAAGACCCTTAAAGATGACACTTTTGGCAGTGTTGGTCTAGAAAAACATTCACACAACTCCAGAAAAAACATTCACACAACTCCTTAGCAATATTTAAACACTTTTGTAAATTAAGACCTTTAAAGATGACACTTTTGGCAGTGTTGGTCTCCAAGGCTGGCCATGCAGGTCTCAGGTTCTCAGGGGCTACTTGAAACCAAACAAACCATATCCAGTGCTACCAGTAAAACTAGTCCTTCTCAAAATCTCTGCCTGGAAAAAGCCTCCTTTTCTAACGAAACATCTGTCCTCTTCTCAATGTAACACGCCGTGCTATAGCTTTTGTGGAAAATGCTGCCATCAGGCAAAGAGATGAGTCGTTTTGGGGGTATTTGCTATAAAATATGGCCATCCCCTGCAGAACCGGATCAGGACTTGGTCTGTGGTCTGAATTCTTGTAGCCCTTCTGAGAACTTCCTACCCATGGAAACTCAAAAGCTTTCCTTTTCAGACCTTGTTCTGGCACTGTCCCAGACAATGAATTTAAAACAGCAACACACAAAATAATTTTAAGCTGTTTTCACAGGTATCTAAAACATATGAATAAAATATTTGGAAGATTTCTTTTTTTTCCCCTCTTTTAAGGCTTGTCTTTATTACCTCTCCTGATTAAAGTGTATACTTCTGCAGCTGCTGTAAACAACAGTGCTGAGTAATTTGAAGAGTGCCAGCAGGCCCTTCTGAAAAATTCTCATATTTAGAGAAATTACTCTAAGCTTTGCAGGGCCGTTTTTCTCGTAGGGTATATACGGAATACAAAAAAAGGAGGAACAGCACGTAGACTTCCATATTTCATCATCATAAATATGTGATGCCTTTTTTTCTGCTGTTCCTCACTGAGCCACTGACTAAGGACTGGCTCACATTTAGCAGTATTTCTCCATATAGACCATTAGCAGCCTCATTTCTGAAGAGGGACATAAGAGCTAATTGCAGCAGAACGCAGCTGCAGAGTCCAAGGCAAAAGCCAATAAAAATCCCTGCAGAAATGCCCTCTGCTTGTTTTACTTAGAATTGATTATAGAATTAGGAGGTGTTAACTACAGAGTGTGAATCCCCCTTGTTGCACAACAGTATGGGCATTGCACGTTTCAATACATATTGTGTTTCACAAAAACACTTAATTTTGAAACTTTTTTTTTCTTTGAAATAACAGTAATCAGGAACAATCACGTTCCTAGCTCATAATTGGAAATCTGTAAATTAAAATTACTTCTATTGCTAGAATTATAGCTTCTGATGTTTTATTTCATAACAGAATTTCCTTTTCTGGCTATTTAGTGTTTTACATCTGGTGTTTATGATAGATGACAGCCAATTAGTTGTAATTAAAAAACATAAAAGGACTGCAGGATGTGACCCATGACTACATATCCATGCAGAATAATAACTTTGCTAATAGAACTGATTTAAACCTTCCTAACAAAACCCACAGAAATCTCTCTGCCAAAAAGGGGAAAATTCTTCAGCAATGCTATATCTAGAATGTTCTTTCAGATAAGGGCACATTTCAATATAAAATGAAGTTACATATTCCTTTCAATTAGTTTTAATTGAAGTTTTTTTATGGGTGACTTGCAGAATTGGCTTAAAACATTACAACCACTTTTCTTTTTTGCTGTATTAATTTTGTGACTTTACACTTTTAACATCTCTAGGTTTTAGCACTCTTCATTTTTATTTTCTTTTTCAAATTTTTTCCAGCCTCGCAAAATTTGGACAGACAAATGATGTAAGAAAACACACCTTTTTAACACTGCGTATTTTCAAATTGAGAGGAGAAATCAGTCTTCAACCCCAGAAATGAATAAAAAAGTTCAATTCAGTCCAAGATGGAAATGTATAAAGCATTTTGGTTTTCTTCATAAGGCAGGGGAAAAATGAAAAGCACAAAATTAGATTCATTAATTGGTGAAGTACTGAAAGCCACAAGTATTACATGCTGTATAACCAAGTGGGGTGACTCTTCCAAAGATCTAAATCATCTAAATATTGAAGACCAAGTTCGAGAAGCTGGTTGGGGCTGGAAATGGCATGGCCAGAGAGTAGTAGAACCAGAAATACTGGTTCCCTTCAGTTACCAGTTTCCATCTAGTGTCCCCTCAACCAGTCTTCCCAGCAGAGACCCACTGCCTGTTTTAGTCACCCAATCTTTCCTTGCTCCATGACTCAGCTGGAGAACTGATTTCTGTGCTCCATGATTGGTGTAACAAAGGTGTTACACTGAGCACCTCTGAACGTGTGCATAGAAGAGGGTTGGCTAATTAACCTGAGACATCTTTACTAATCCAGATACCAATAGAGGTTAGGGGTGGATCTGCTGGAAAGCACTTCTGAGGAGAAGGTTCTGGAGGTCCTGGTGGACAGCAAACTCTCCATGAGCCAGCAATGTGACCTTTTGGCCAGGAGGCCAATGGGATCCTGGGCTGTGTAGGGCAGAGTGTGGCCAGGAGGTGGAGGGAGGTCATTCTCCCCCTCTGCTCTGCACTGGGGAGGCCACAACTGGAATCCTGCCTCCAGTGCTGGGCTCCCCAGTTCCAGAGGGACAGGGAACTGCTGGAGAGAGTCCAGCGTAGGGCAACAGAGATGATGGAGGGGTTGGAGCATCTCCCTGATGAGGAAAGGCTGAGATTTTTACAAGTATCTCAAGGGTGGGTTGAAGGAGGATGGAGCTGGACTCTTTTCAGTGGTTCCCAGTGACAGGAGGAGGGGCAACGGGCACAAACTTGAATATAAGAAGTTCCACCCAAACGTGAGGAGGAACTTCTTTACTTTGAGGGTGGCAGAGCCCTGGCAGAGGCTGCCCAGGGAGGGTGTGGAGTCCCCTTCTCTGGAGATCTTCAAGCCCCACCTGGATGCTCCTGAGTGATGTGCTCTGGGCAGCCCTGCTTTGGCAGGGGAGTTGGACTGGATGGTCTCTAGAAGGTCCCTTCCAACTCTGACAATTCTGTGATTCTGTGAAATCCAGTGGTCAACTTTTCACTTGCTTATTTGTGGGCTGGATTAAATCCAAATCCTGACAATAACATTATGTCCAATGAAGTGTCTTGCTAACCTCCTTAGAACCCAGGGAGCCTCTCTGATCTCCCCATCAAAGCACGCTCCACGTGCTGGGCATGGAAAACACGCTGAAGACCTGGCTGCCCTGGTTTTCACTCCAGGCTGTCCTATTTTATGGACGTGGAGACTAAGCTGTGGTGGGAGGGTTCTGGCTGTGCACCACAACACACTCACTGCAGCATTTCAGGCCTACCCCTGACAATATGTTTTTAATGTCTTGCAGATGTGTGAAGCTGGAAATCACTTCATCAACGTAGCTTTAGCTCACCAAAATCATTCAGGTCTGTCTTTGTTTCCTCTATTTAAGACTGAAGTGTGCTAAACCTATCCATCTTCCACGAGGATACAGTAATTTATGTATCTACATCCACAGAATAAAGAAAGATGAATTAGGTACCATGCCATCAGCGTAACATCTTCAAAACAAATGTGATGACAAGGAAATATTAGCAACACTTGTTGTTGTTATAAAGCTTATAGCAAATTAATCTTAATTTTCCACAACTGCAATTTAAATACGGATTTAAGCATGGAAGTTCTCTAAAGCATCCTGTTGACTGACAACAGAGGATTCCATTTGAAATAAGTTTCAAAAACTTTTCAACTAGATTGCAGGGTTTTTAGAAGTGTGCAGCTCATGAAAAGATACACACAGAAATGCACACCAGCAGACTCATGAATACCTACACAGGTATATTTATATATGTGCTCTTAAAAGGCTACCCCAAGCATGGGGTTTCAGAGTCTTTTGTACCATGAGAACAAAAGATATATTATGTATAGTAGAAAGTAAAATATATTTTCAGATAATAATAGTATAATTTTGCACGATAACATCCTATTCAAGAAAATTCTTCACCATGGTGGGATCAACTTCACACACTGAAGTCGGTTTCTATTTCAGAAAGGTTTTGATGTGCTGTGCTTAGGCTGTTTGTTCCAAGGGGCCTAATTCAGTCTAAAAGCAGCAAGAGATAAATAATTCATCAGCGCCTACAAGTATTAAAGATAGCATTGTTGCTAAAAAATGAAGTGTTGCATCTGTGGTACTTTGTGTGAGCATTATCAGTGGCTGTAGGCAGTCGAACTTAAAGATGAAGTGTTGCATCTGTGGTACTTGGTGTGAGCATTATCAGTGGCTGTAGGCAGTCATGATGTTTCTGTCCTTTCCTGTTGTACCCTGAGATGAAGGATGAGGGTGGTGCACCTGGGGAGGAATAACCCCCTGCACCAGCACAGGTTGGGGGTGACCTGCTGGAGAGCAGCTCTGAGGAGAAAGACCTGGGAGTCCTGGTGGACAACAGGATGCCCATGAGCCAGCAATGTGCCCTTGTGGCCAAGAAGGCCAATGGCATCCTGGGGGGCATCAGGAAGAGGGTGAGCAGCAGGTGGAGGGAGGTCATCCTGCCCCTCTGCTCTGCCCTGGGGAGGCCCCATCTGGAGCACTGGGACCAGTTCTGGGCTCCCCAGTTCCAGAAGGACAGGGAACTGCTGGAGAGGGGACAGCAGAGGCTACAGAGATGATGAGGGGCCTGGAGCATCTCTCTTACGAGGAGAGGCTGAGGGACTTGGGTCTTTTGAGTCTGGAAAAGAGAAGGCTGAGGGGGGATCTGATCAATGCTTAGAAATCCTTAAAGGGTGTGTTTCAAGAAGATGGGGCTGGTCTTTTTCCAGTGGTGCCCAGGGACAGGACAAGAGGAAATGGGCACAAACTTGAACAGAATGTGGTTTAATGTGGTCCACATTAAACGACTTGTCTCCCTTCCTCTGAACAAAGGTTACCTCCTTTGGACCAGGTTACATCCTCACAGGCCAGACCTTGCCTGTACCATCTGACCCATGGCTGGCTAACTACCATTCTCACTAGGATAAACACAGCTTGTGCTGTCTCAAAAGATTTCACTGAAACCTTTTTAACAAGTCGTGCTCTGGGAGGGTTGGCCAAGGGGATGGCTGTTACACAGGCACCGTTGAGAGGGGACAGATTCACATTCCAGAGTCAGGCTGAATAAGATACAGCCACCTCCCAGCAGAGTGCCCTCAGCCCTCGCTCTCTGGCTGGTCCACATCAATCGACTTGTCTCTCTCTCCCTTCCTCTGAACATCCTTTGGACATGCCAGACCTTGCCTGTACCATCTGACCCGTGGCTGGCTAACTACCATTCTCACTAGGATAAACACAGCTTTTGCTGTCTCAAAAGATTTCACTGAATCTTTTTTAACAAGTCGTGCTCTGGGAGGGTTGGCCAAGGGGATGGCTGTTACACAGGCACCGTGTGATAAGGCTCAGTTCTCCTCCCTGTACTGAAACTGCTTTTGTGTGTTTGGTTTTCTTTTTTTTCCTTCTCCTCCCCTACCTTCTTTTGTGTTTTTTTTTTTCCTTTCATAAAGGAAGTAAAGCCTGTTTTCCAAGTCCAACCTACAACCCCTTCACGTGGCTCTTCTTCCTGGTGTCCTGTCCCAACTACACGTACGAGGTACATGACTTTCTTCTGCTTTTACACAAAGGGTGGGTGGTTCCTGTGTGTCAGCCTTTGGCTGCAGAAAATCCACAACTCCTCCACGCACCTCCCTCTGCACATCAATCCTTATGTTCTCTGTGTTGGGAGCCTCCTCGTTTCCACAAATGTTCCTCCACCAGACCCTCCTTCACATCAGTAGTGTGACATTTGTGTGTACTCCCCTCCCAGTGATCCAAGTATTTACCATCTCTTCTCCCCCATCCAGCACACTAGGGCCTTCCTTTCTACCTATTTTTCCTTTTTTTCCAGTACAAGTATCATGCTCTTCTTCCAGGGGAAGCTTGTGGGGAGGTGGTCACTTTTGAAAACTCACCCTTTTGCTTTAGGTAAAGTATAGAATTAACAGTGTCTTTGTCTTTGCAATAGGTCGGGTCTTGGATTAGTTTCACAGTGATGACACAAACCCTGCCAGGTAAGTTTGATTGACATTTGTGTGTACTCCCCTCCCAGTGATCCAAGGATTTACCATCCATCTCTTCACCCCCATCCAGCACACTAGGGTGTTCCTTTCTACCTATTTTTCCTTTTTTTCCAGTACAAGTATCATGCTCTTTTTCCAGGGAGGTGGTCACTTTTGAAAACTCACCCTTTTGCTTTAGGTAAAGTATAGAATTAACAGTGTCTTTGTCTTTGCAATAGGTTGGGTCTTGGATTAGTTTCACAGTGATGACACAAACCCTGCCAGGTAAGTTTGATACAGAACGAAGATAAGCCTCTAAATTGTTGTTTGCAGAAGTGAATTCTGGAAATCTAAAATTTACCAAAAAAAGTACAGCATATGAAATACTGCCCTCAAATACCCCTTGAGATGTGACTGTGTAAACCTTCAAAGCCCATAACCTCAGAAAGCCCCAGAGAGCACAAGCACTGCTGCCAAACCTCCTTTTGATCAAAACCAGCTCCCTGCTTCTTGGGAAATATTCTTCTTTCTCCTGTTACCACAGTGAAAATGGACTTTGATATTTATATATAAAAAGTCAGTATTCTTCATTTACAGTAAATCATTTTTGACACAGGAAAATTTCTTTGGGCTGCAAACCTGGAATAGTATTTCTAATGGGGAGAGGAAAAGAGATGTATTTAGTATTTCAAAAGAGGAAAAACACACAGATTCCTGATAGCATCTCCCTTTTTTGCTTGTATCAGGCACCCAGGTTGGAACAGCAGCCTGCTTAGTAGCGTTTGCAACTCCTGCTCAGCAATTTCCTGCATCCTTAGAGACCTAAATACCCGTACAAATAATGGTCCTTGGGACTGAGCTCTCCAAAACGTTCACTTTTTAATTATTTTTCCATTCCAAAAGAGAAGCCCATAAAAGCTACTTGCAAAAAAAAAGTAGCCCCACGTGGTTTAAAAATGAAAAAGGAAGGATTTTCAAAAGGGGATTAAACTGCATCATGCAAAACATAAAACTTTTAATTTTGTTTGAAAAGGTACGACACTTTTGTGCTTTAGGCTTGGTATGGAAATGACCTGAAAGTTTGGGGACATTGTAGGGCTGCGTTTATGAGGGCAGGGAAGAGCAAATCACTGCACACAACAGCAGCACCCTCATCCTTGCTGTAACTGTCCCAAATACAACTTGACTGGATGCCAAATGATCGTTTCTGCTCATTTTAAGGAAGAGAGGATAATGAATTTGCAAAAAGCACCTGTAAAAGCATTCCCCATTCAGTGCTGCTGTGCCCGAAGGGAGAGGTACCCATGAGACCACTTAATGACTCCTGACAAGCACAAGGGGCCTGGGTATCCGTGGTTGTGAGGCTTTGTGAGCCCTCCCTGCCAGGCAGCCTAAAGTTCTTCCTGCACCTACTGCCTCCTCACTCCAGGGCCAAGCTCTCCCTCCATGGGACAGGGAGGTCTATCACAGCTCCCTGCTGTGGTTGGGAGCCAGAGGGAAGACACAAAGTGATGCAGGCCAAAAACAAACCAGGAAAATCATAGAATCAATGACTAGAGTTGGAAGGGACCTTAAAGATCATCGAGTCCCACCAGACCAGGTTGCTCCAAGCCCCATCCAGCCTGGCCTTGAACCCCTCCAGGGATGGGGCAACCACAGCTTCCCAGTCAAGAAGGACCATGGGTGAGATGGCATGGTGCCCAAGGAGACCTTGTGACTTATATTGAAGCCATAGGTGATGGAGGGTGTGTCTGATAGATGTGACCATCACCTGTGTGAGTTGAAGGATGTTGGAGCCAGACTCTTTTCAGTGGTTTCCAGTGATAGGACAAGGGGCAATGGGCTCAAGCTGGAACATAGGAAGTTCCATTGAAATATGAGCAGAAAAGCTTCTTAATGGTGAGGGTGGCAGAGCCCTGGAAGAGGCTGCCCAGGGAGGGTGTGGAGTCCCCTTCTCTGGAGATCTTCAAGCCCCACCTGGATGCTCCTGAGTGATGTGCTCTGGGCAGCCCTGCTTTGGCAGGGGAGGTGGACTGGATGGTCTCTAGAAGGTCCCTTCCAACTCTGACAACTCTACATCAGCAACTGCAAGGCTTTTCTTTTTTTTCTTTCTTCTCTTTTTCCTTGCTAGCTGGCATTTTTGCTTTCCTGATGGTCATCCAGATGTCTCTCTGGGCCCAAAAGAAACACAAGCTGTACCTGAAGAGGTTTTACCCAGAGGTGCGGAGAAAAGCAGCTATGATTCCCATCATCTTCTGAGCTCTTCACAAGAGTTGGAGCCTGAGTCTACAGTTCAAGAGCTGACTCAGAGTAAATGAGCCATTTCATTCAGTAACCAAAGCAGATCAGAGGAAGAACTACTGGATATCTTTCTCAGAAAATTAACAGTTCAAGACGAAGAGCTTTTAATTAAGTGAAAAAATGTAGCTCTTGAATTCTTGGTTCTTGCTAAAAGATATGATTTAATTAGATTTTCTGTAATGGAGCTAATTGGGAAGGGACAAGAAAATTGCTTATATTAAATGTTAGGCTAGATATTTAGCTGGTGTAAATGGGCACAGATGCTGCTAAAATTAACAAATACAGCTCATTTGCATGCATTCAGGTCTAGTGATTCTAAGGTTCAGTGTTAGATGTTGACAAGAGTCTTGGATTTTTGCATCAGAGGATGTTTCACAGCCTTACTTTTATTAAACTGCACAGAAACAGCACATTCTGCCTCAGCTCCTCTAAAGCATCACATCAAAGAGCAACTGCTATGCTGTTAACACAGTTTAGTCTAGCTTTACAAGGTTTTTATTCTCTTTTTTTTTTTTTTTTAATTGAATCTCATAGCAAATTGTTCAATACAAATTGGCTTACATTGATCACTGCAGAGAGGTCTGGCTCTCTTTTATTTTCAGGTGGGCAGATCATCCCAAAAGAGGAATGTTTGGGAGGTACTTCCCATCTTGTTACTAATTTGCAGCATGACCTTGGGGGTCCATGGTTTCAGTCCATCTCTCTTTCTCACACTGAACATTTCTGGAAAGAGCAGAAGACTTTCTCGACTGACAAGTGTGTTAAGCACAATTTTAGTTACAGAGAGCAAAAGAACCAGAACTGCTTCAGCGAGTATTAAGATATGGAGAGTTAGGGCATTAAGCCCAGTTTTAATTCTATTTGTGTTGGACATTTATCAATGTCTTTTGGCTCCCTCAGGCTGGTGAACAAGCTTGCCTAGAGCTTCAGTGATGAGAGAAACACCAGAGTACACGAGCAAGGCAGGCAGATCCTCTCCCAAAGTCATTGTGCCAGCTCAAGTGTCCTAACAAAGTTAATTTGCCCAGTAAATTGGGTTCATATCCTTCTTCTAATGTCTAAGTTGCAACACTTAACTCTATTAGCCACTGGAACTCAATTTCATTGTGGAAATGTAAATAAATTGCTTTCCGTATTTTTTAACTTTAACCTGTGAACACCTAGAATGTTTTATTCCTCTCAGTGGAAAACCTGAGTCACACTGAACATCCAGTTCTCTAACCCAGACTGCTAATAAAGATCTATTTTTGAAAAATCATATTCTGTACTCTTTAGTCACACCGAGAGCCAATCTTACAGAATCACACAATGATGACAAATCTGTTCAAGAGTGATTCCAAGGGGTTTCTATTCATCAGTTATCTTAGGCAAAGTGAGTACTTCAGGAATTTTTTTACTTCTCCACACAATGATGACAAATCTGTTCAGGAGTGATTCCAATTCCTAGGAAGTGGTTCCTATTCATCAGTTTTCTTAGGCATAGTGAGTACTTCAGGAATTTTTTTACTTCTCTGCTTATTAGTTGGTCATTCATGGGGTGGAGGGGAAAAAGTTTTTGGCTCCTGTAGTAAACGACTAAAGTTTTAAAACGGGAGTAAGAGCAAACCCTAGGTAAGAACAGATGAAGATGTGTCACAGAAGGCCGTCTCAGATAAACATGGCAGATATTTTGAGATTCATCAATGGAGTGTTGACCAGCTAAAATTGCCCTGAGCAGTGTTAAATGGCTTCACAAATAACAATAAATCCCTGCACCTTCACAGATCTTTCTGGATTACTCTGCCCTCTCTGATTTTCAGGGCAAGTCCCATATGATTAGATCCATTAGAACAGGTAAGTTAACTTCCTGGCATGTGGAGCATGTTTTGCTTTAAACCAAAAGTACATAAAAATGGTCAGTCTTTGTTTTGATAAATGTTTTGGGGGGCTTGCTTTTGGAAAAAAAACCCACAAACCAAACCAAAACACAAAAAAAAACGAAAAACAAACCCAAAAAAAGCCCAAGCAAACCAAAAAATCCCAACAGGCAAGGAACAAGTATCGCTCTTTCTAAAAGTGCAATCACCAGTGATTTGAGCCACAAGGTCCATGCACCTCCTGAACCAAAATAATTATCTCCACATAAACATTTTCCACGGGAAAGTCAGTCATGACTCTGCTGATCACCTGGGGGGAAAAAATGCCTTATTGAAATCTGAATATACTGGCATCCACTACTTGCAGCAAAAAACTGATTTGTCCCTCTGAGCTAAACCCCTTTCTGATGCTGTTTTCCTCAGTTTTTGGGTCTGGAAAAGTGACAAACTGCAGGGCAATGAAACTACTCCCCGTGGTGTCCTGCCCTTGCCTTTTCTCCCTGTGGCTTCTGTAGGCCCCAAAGCTTTCCTAATAGCTTGAGGAGGCAAATTATGGCATTTGTCACAAAAGACAGGAGGCAGCAGCACCATACAGCAGAAAAATGAAGTGGTTGAAGTTGGAGACACGTTCTGGTTGGATATGAGGAGCCGGTGCAGTCACTGACACAGTTAGGCCCCCACGTAGAGGAGCAATTCCTGCTTGATGGTCCTCAGAAGCTAAGCCATCTAAGCCAAAAAGACCACAAATAAAGAAAGTTACAAAGACATCGGGCCTCCTAGACAACGGTTTTGGCAGGGACTTTGTAAAAATAAATCAGATGAAGTACTAATGGGTCCTTCCTGGCCTGCTGTCATGGTTTCAGCTGGGATTGAATTATTCAATTAAGAAACTTTCTTGCTAGCAGCTGGTGTGGGGCTATGTTTTGATTTGGGATGAAAAACAGTGTTGAGAGCACACTAATGTTTTTGGCTGTTGCTAAACACTCAAGGCCTTTTCTTGCTCCTCATGTGGCCTTGCCAACAAGCAGGCTGGGGGTGCAGAAGAAGTTGGGAGGAGACACAAGCCAGGACAGCTGACCCCAACTGACCACAGAGATATTTCATGGGACATCATGCTCAGTACACAAAGCTGGGGGAAGAAGAAGGAGGGGGTGACATTCGGAGTGGTGGCATTTGTCTTCCCAAAGAACCATTATGCATGATGGAGCTGTGCTTTCCTGCAGATGGCTGACCACCTGCCTGCAGAAGGGGAGCAGTGAATGAATGCCTTGGTTTGCTTTGCTTGTGTGTGGCTTTTGCTCTACCTATTAAACTGTTTTTATCTCACCCCATGAGGGTTTTTTTCTCACTTTTCACAGAATCACATGGGGTTGGAAGGGACCTCTGGAGATCATCTAGTCCAACCCCCTGCCAAAGCAGGGCCACCCAGAGCAGGTCCCACAGGAACGTGTCCAGGTGGGGTTTGGGATGTCTCCAGAGAAGGAGACTCCACCACCTCCCTGGGCAGCCTCTGCCAGGGCTCTGCCACCCTCACAGCAAAGAAGTTCCTCCTCGTGTTTAGGTGGAACTTCTTGTATTCAAGTTTGTGCCCATTTCCTCTTGTCCTGTCCCTGGGCACCACTGAAAAAAGACAGTCCCCATCCTCTTGACTCCCACCCTTTTACTCTTCCAGTTCTCTCCCCATCCAAACTGTAGGGGTGAGTGAAGAGCTGCATGGTCCTAGTTGGCATCTGGGATTAAACCATGATGCTTGCGCAACAAGAAATGTGCAAACAGCATTGCTTGGCCTGTGGGCTCAAAGAATATCTCAAAATAACCTCTTCGTGGTCCACCTGGAACATCCAGGTCCCTCCATGTTCACCCTGCAGCTTGCAACTGGGTTTCTACTGTGATCCTCCAGACGGGCAAGTTTAATCTTTCCCAAAGTATTCTCAAGACTTTCAAATTCAGGAGCCTAACGTTAAGCCTTCAGATATCCAGCTCTGCCATGAAATGCCAACCTGGAAAAGAGCAGGCACCAGCTCAGGCTTCCTGAGGTGGCAGATGTGGTGGGGAACCGAAATGGCAGATGCTCCTGTACACAACTTGGCAGCCTATATTTGGATCCCCAGTTTGAAACAGCCCTTAAGACCCAGCCATATGTTTCTCTTCTATGACAGTTACCACTGCTTAGAAGCTGACAGGACTGAAAATGATCTCAGGGATTTCATCTCTCCATAGGGAAAGTAGAGCTCGAAAGGACACTGAAAGCAGGAGGAGTGAATAAAGGCAGATGGTCATCCTTTTTTTAAAGATGCTATTATCATCAAAATATCTTGTACTTTCTATTGTTTTGTAGAAAGAAAGGGACTCTAAATTGGCTTTTATCACACTAGGAACTGAGATAAAGCAGCCTGATATCAAAGTAGTTCCCTGAAAGAGAGCCTGCAGTGATAGCTAAATATAATAAAATAAAAATCACTGAATGTGAAGACTTCTAAAGCATACTATAAGAGAAAGAAAGCTATAGGAAAACCAGAGACTATTTATCTATTTATAGTTTTAACAAGTGCTGCGGAACTAAAAATTAATTCAAACTGTAAAGAGTTTTCCAGCGAGCTAATATTTTCCACATGATGCTTTACTGGCTTCCCTTTTCTCTATTTTCCTAGGCCTGAGTTTTCTCTTCAAACGATATTCCCTGCCATTAACATTCATGAAAGCTTTTAGAGAAGTGCACTAATGTCTGCCTGTTCCAGCCTTCCACAGATAAACATAAACCAAGTGTTGGGCTGTTGTTGCACACAGATTAGTATCTACATGAATGATGTTTTATTAGGAAAAGCCTGGTTTATCACAGGTGAGTGTATAAAGGCTGCCATTAAAGGCAATTTTCACCTCACACATGTTTAGTAGCACGGAAGAATGTGTGTTTGAATGGTCTCTGCCATATGTGACTCAAATGTACAACTCTCACTGCAGGAATTAGAACCAAAAGCCCAGCTGTTTCGGGCCTTTATCGTGGTTCTGATGTTTGGGTATTTATTTGTGTAGCCCACCAGAGACGGGGTCTCACCCAGCTCTGCCCTGTGAGGGCATCTGAGAAAACACTTCTCTGTCCATCTTGTCCAACCAGGTCTGTCACCCTTCTAGCCCACCAGAGACAGGTTCTCACCCAGCCCCTGTGAGGGCATCTGAGAAGACACTTCTTTGTCCATCTTGTCCAACCAGGTCTGTCACCCCATGACTGAAATAACGTGCACTGAATTTCCTTGCAAGGTAATAGTCAATTGGAAACCTCTTCACCAAAGGAAAAGACAAGTTAATGGGTCCTGAAATATGTGCACTTAGATTAAAAAAACATCTACCCCATATTAACACCTACACAATACCCAGGCTTCTAACGTATACCTGCTTTTATCTAACTTCTAAAGCCTTTGAAGACTAAGGAACCAAAGTAAGAGGAAATCATTTCTAGTTAAAAGAAATATGATAAGAGCATTCAATAATATTAATGAATTCCTTATTTAAAAGTGCAAACTTCACATCTTTTGTCAAAGAATTTGGATTGTTAGCCAGCTTCCTCCAAATACTCAGTGTTATTCCTGTGAAAAAGTAATATAGCTCGACCAGTGACCCCTTTTATTGTTCCGTACTCCATGAGGAAGGCCTTTAGTCCTAAAACTACAGGTTTCACCACTGGGTGAAATGGGGGCTCTTTTAAATCACTACAGAACAGGCTCCCAAGAAAACAGACCCCATCAAACATTCATCTCTTTCATACTGAAAAGCTGATGAGTTTTCAGTTGACTGGTGAAACGCTGCGACACCGCTAAAAAGCAAACAAATATTAAAAAAGGTATCCCTCTCCTCAAGGCAAGAATAGGGAAAAAAAAAAAAAGTGCTTTTTTCCTTTTCTGTTAATAATTTAAGGCCATTTCCCAGGTCCAAGGGCATTCTTGCAGGAGGAAACATTGATTAGAGAGCTGGAAGGACCAGAATGTGGTTGTGGTGTGCTTTTAGGGATTAGCAGCTATGCCTTTTTGGAAAGAAATTTCACTCTTTCTGACAACTGAGCTTGACAGAAATGGATTAAAGATGTCACATCTCCAATATTGTATCTAATGAAAAACAAAGTACCTATTCTTAAACCAACAGGGAATATTTGTCACGTCCCCAAACTCTGTACTCTTCCACCCTCTGGTTTACATCATCTCTTTGGACTTGTACACCTTTCATTCTACCTCTTAATTATTTACCTATTAGAGATTTGATATCTGCACCCATGTCCCAGGCAAACCAGCTGGTGATTTCAAAACGCCGAGGAGGAAGAATCGATTTGTTCACCAATTTCAGCCCCGTTGCCCCACACGTAGGTGATTATTTTTAGATATCCTGCCAACAGCCACGTGAAGTGTGATTT